AGAAAAGTAAGGAAGTCAAAAAAATGCAAAAATTGGTTCAGAATTTGTTGACCAGCTCAAACCTAATTTTCTGAAGACTATTAGGAAGCAGAGTAACGCCAACGCAAGAGAGGCAGAGCTATCCACCTTCTCTACCACACCACTAGTTTTCCCATAGTCCAAGTCAAACAAAATTTCATCCAACTTTCATTCAAATTATCTTTCCATTTGTCATTCTCTCCTATTCTCTCTATTTTCCCTTCCAATTTCAAACACTTCAGTTTCGGATTCACCCTGATTCTTCAGAGGAATTGCCACAGTGATGGCACAGAAGAGCTTCATCGTTGAGGTCGAGAAAGCGAAGGAGGCGATCGAAGGAAGGCCATCGAGAGGACCTGTGTACCGTAGCCTCTTCGCCAAGAATGGATTCCCTGCTCCTATCGAAGGTCTCGATTGCTGCTGGGACGTTTTCCGGTGAGCTCGTCACTTCAATTTCACTACTCTTTGTTTCATTCGTCAATTTTTTATGCAAAAATGTCAGATCAATAAGCTCCTACTTCCTTTCGTGGATATATGATCTGGAATTGCGTATGAGACTTTACTGGAAAGCTTTTGGTGCTCGAAGCAATGATCGTTTCTTTTTACGTTCACAGTCGGAAGATGTATTTCCTCTAATGACGTACAAATCGGATAGTTTATTTGAATCTCCCGAATTAGTATACCTACTTGCCATGCAGAGCTCTCTGATCTGTATCATAGTTAGGCAGACTTTCGATTGAAGCTATCTATTTGGAGCAGTGAAAGTATAAATTTCGGTTTAACCACTTTTTTGCAACAATGAATTAATGTTGTTGGACTTTCGTGTGCATGAAGAGAACCTAAGTATACATTTTAATTTTACTTGATTTAGTAGCTATCTATTTGGAAAGTGAAAGTATTTATTTCGTGCACCAGAGTTTGCATTGTCGGTATTTTTTTTTTCCTTTTTAATACTGTAATAAATGTTGGCGAGCTTTTCATGTGCATGAAGACGACTTGATCATTCGGTTTAATTTTTTTACTTGGCTTAGGATTTGATCCACAACCTGTGTTGATCCAGATCAATGTTACGCTGAACCGAACTTATGACTTGTATTGATAAAAGATTAGTCAATTCAGTTCTGAGTGTGTTGTACTTTTACAGATTGTCCGTTGAGAAATATCCAACTAGTCCAATGTTTGGTCGCCGGGAAATTGTGAATGGGAAGGTGAGGTTTTGACTACCGATTGAGTCCTGTGTTCTGGATTTTTTCTTGACATTGCTTCACCATTTTTCGCTTTTAACCGACTTGAATTTCCTTTTCGTGACTCTATAGGCAGGCAAGTACAAGTGGTTAACATACAAAGAAGTATATGACCAGGTGATTAAGGTTGGGAATTCCATCCGCAGCTGTGGTTATGGAGAAGTAAGTCAACCATGTCGTTTCGTTATTTACAAACAAGATTAATGTGCAATTAACATGGTTCCATACCTTTGACATATTTCAAGTGCTGGATGTTCTTGATAATAAAGTTGTCAGACTTTCTAGTTAACTCTTAACCTCTTAAGGGTTTACAATCCTTGGTAAAGAAAACGAGTTAACTCTCAACATAAGAGTATACTCAGACGAGCTCTTTAGAATCTCAGGTCAACTGAGTATGTAGTTTTGGCCATTCATTGACAACACTAACAATATTTTGTTAAGGATAAAACTATTTGAAGAAATTAGTTCCTCTTTTAAATATTTTCACTTTAAGAACTTATGCTTTTATGAATTTATGTTAGGTTTGACCATATATTCAAGTTTATCATATTTAACCTTAGTATAATATCATACTTTATTATTGTGACTTGCTACTTTTCTTTATCATTAAGTTGAAATATTCAATTATTTGTGTAGAAAGTATTATGTTATGTATATATGTCATGAATAGATTTTTTTTTTAATCCTCTTTTTCCTTAGGTAATTCTTAGTTTATGAAAGCTCTCAAATTTGTCAACCTTGCTTTACAATTTGGTATTTGTATGAGCATGGACTGTGTTGGAGATCTCATATGATTAGTTATTATATAACTGAAATAGGGTATTTATTGGACAACAACCATCATCTCATGAGTTAGCTTTTGGGACTTAGTTAAGTTCAAACCCAAATTATAATATGTTGAGTCTATCGAGTTGTCCGTCATTTGGTGATTATCAAACCATTCAAAGATGTTCACTCTTGTTAACTTTATGCTCAAGATGTTCAATCATCAATGCTACGGGTGTTTGTTGGAGATAGTATTTTGTATAGTAGTGATACAATGAAAGTAGTTGTAACTTCAGCTTATTCTATAGACTAAGTTTTGAGATTCATTTTGGTCAAAACCCAAAATTTAAGAAGTATCTCAACGTTGATTCAAAAACTTGGTTTCGTGAGTTAAAGTGCTTAGCATATGACAAATTTCCCTTTTGCACATAAGTTTGTATATTGGATCCTTGTTTATATGTTTTGATATTTTATTTTTTTGCATATGATATGATAATATTTATATTTTCTAGCATTTTTTTTTTCTTTTGAGATTAATTCATATATTACTGGTTTGCAGGGTGTAAAATGCGGTATTTATGGTGCCAATTCAGCAGAATGGATTATGAGCATGGAGGTAAAATTTATTTTGAATTCCCTTCCCTTCGGTTCTCTTCCTTTTTTCCATCTTAATATTACTGCTCGCTTGGAAGTATTTACCCTACATGTGGGAGTTTTGTGCAGTATTCATGTGTTGACATTTGCTTGTATTTTGGGCTGAGTATTTATAATTATTTCTATGTCTACTTTATTGTTTATTTGGTGGTGAGTTTTAGTCCGCATTGAGCTGAAAGGAGAATAAGATATTTCTGGAATGAAGCTTCGTTTCTTATATTGAATATCCACACTCTGCAGAGAGTTCCAATTCTTTAATTATATCTCTATACTTATATTGTGCCAGTTATGGGTATCCTTGGCTCCTGAACTACTTTCACCCAATGGTCTTTATCATGTTGACAAAAAAATCGCCAGCCTGCAATGCTCATGGACTCTATTGTGTACCTTTATATGATACCTTGGGTATGTCACCCCTTCATTATCTTGTTTCTACACCATGTTTATGCTTATACTCAAATGCAATTAAAATTTGCTTTTGTCATCTATAATTGTACAAATAGTTGCTACTATCAAGGATCAGTAATCTCAAAAGCTTTGATGTTGTGTGAAAAGATGCAACATTGGTGGCGATGTAACATTTTTTCTGTAACTTTTTCCAACAAATAACAAATTTCCTAATTTATGAACTTTTTAGAAACTTATGTACAATATTACATCTTGAAAAATTATGTAAGTTCTAAATGCAAGCATTTATCAAAACCTTTTGTGGCTATTTTTTATTTTTTATTATATGTTGTAATTTTTCTGAACAAATAAATTCATTAATTATACCTTTTGAAATTCTCACCTAGTGAATGAACAAAGTCCTTTTGAAAAGTATTTTTATAAAAATTTACTGCAATTCAGTTAAAATGGTGCATAAACAATATCCAATTTTACAAAAGCAATATCCCATTTTAGAGTTATTTGTTTTTCAATTTCTAAACTTGTAATTATCATTTGCTTTGACACTCTCCTCGGAATGAAATAGGTGCTGGAGCTGTAGAATTTATTATATGCCACGCAGAGGTCTCAATTGCATTTGTGGAAGAAAAGAAGATACCCGAGGTTCTTCTATTGAAATCATTTGTTTTAAATTAGTTTAATTGTTAGGAAAGATTAGAGAGTTTTGTACAATCTTATCATGCTAGTGGTCAGTCTGACCCATATATTTGTTTTTGAAACATTTTAGCTATTGAAGACATTTCCAAATGCAACAAAGTATCTCAAGAGTATGTTTTGTAGTTTCTCTCCTTTATTTACTAAAATGCTTATGCTTTAGGAAGAATCATTTCACTTTTTCATCTTTGTCACAGCAATTGTAAGCTTCGGAAAGGTTACCCCTGAACAAAAGCAAGAAGTTGAGAAGTTTGGGTTGGCAATATATTCGTGGGATGAATTTTTGCAAGTGGTGGGTTATTCATTTCGTGCACTATTACTCTTTGTTTTCTGAAAGTTTTAAAATAGAAGCACTCCTACAATTACATTTGTAATTACTACACAAAAAAATATTGTATCACAAGCTTGATCCACCTACAGTTGGCATAATACTTGTAGAAAACAATTAATGAATATAACTTTTTGTGCAGTGGAAATGAAAAAACAAGGATGATTTGTAAATGGAAATTTTGGGAGCATTTTTCTGGGCCAATTTATATAGTTACAAATACGTCCAAATTTATTTTTCTAGTTAATTTCAGTCACCCCTGTAGGAAGTAATCATATCTTTCACCTCTCTGGTATTTTTGTGGTTCCTGTTCCTAATTCAATTTTTAATATATGCCACAGGGTCAAGGTCAGAGTTATGATCTTCCAATTAAGAAAAGGAGTGACATCTGTACAATAATGTATACTAGTGGAACTACTGGTGACCCCAAGGGAGTGTTGATATCAAATGAGAGTATTATCACTCTCTTAGCCGGGGTAAAGCGACTGTTGGAGAGTGTCAATGAACAAGTATGTTGTTTTCTTTCACAACTCCTGCACTATACTTGGAAATACATGAATATGCAATTTCATTTTACGTTTTAGGATACTGAATGAATAGCTATCCTTTCTTTGACTCTCATAGTTTCCCTTCTTTTCCCTTCTCTGCAGTTAACTGAGAAGGATGTATACATATCATACCTTCCTCTTGCACATATCTTTGATAGGGTCATTGAGGAAACATTCATATGGCATGGTGCTTCAATTGGTTTCTGGCGTGGGGTGAGTATATGTAGTATATCTGTCATTACAGAATGGAGATTTAATATCATAAATGAACTCTGGATTTGGAATATGACCATCATTTGCACAATTACTTCAGGATGTCAAATTGCTAATTGAAGATATTGGTGAACTAAAACCAACTATTTTTTGTGCTGTTCCCCGTGTGCTCGATAGAGTGTACTCAGGTAAACTCTTGAAAATTCTTGTGATTTCTGACATGTTTGATGATCTTCCCATGATATATAGTGTTAATGCTCAAACTTTTATTTCCATGGAGAAAGCTTGATAGGATCTAAGGTAAGATGATAGAAGGCGGGAAAATGGGAGAGCGGTTAGGAAAGGCGGGATGGGAGATCTTATATAAATATAGTTCTATTCATTGTTAGAAGGCAGCTAGTCATTTTCTTTCGTATAGACAGGTCTTGGACCTTGTGAGGGGGGTTAGGCTTCCGTAAGATGGAGGGAGGTTATGCTCCCAGATATTGATTGTACGCTACTTCGGTTGATGAGAATACAGATAATTCATTCTTTTCCAATCGTTTTCTTGTTGTGATTGTGTGAGTGAGTTGTCATCGTTAGGTTTCATACTCAGGAACCTAACAAAGCTACTCTACAATTTTTTATTATAGGAATAGCATTTTTCTTGCTTTTCTTTTACATATTTTTTCCTACTCCTCCAACCATCGAGAAAATTGGATTATGACTCTTAACCCCGATCTGGAACACAGGTATGACACAGAAGATTGCTTCTGGGGGCTTCTTGAAGAGGACATTATTCAACTGTGCTTATTCATAGTAAGTGCTGTTTTTGTAAATAAATATTTGAGTCTGGGTGAAATCATGAACATGCAAAAAACTGTCGTGGATTCTCTGTATGATTGTTATGGAACTAAGATTGTTCTTGATTGATTTCGCTTACAAATTCTTGTTAGATTAATATTATTTTTTACTATGTATGTGTTTAAATCTCTCGTGGCCTCTTAGGGGCACTTCAATATTTTTTATTTTATTTTTTATAATCAGTTCTGCCATTCTCTTACAATGCAAATTCTGAAATCTGATTTCAGTAAGCTGAATAACATGAAGAAAGGGTTTACCCATGGAGAGGCATCCCCTATTTGTGATAAAATTGTATTTGATAAGGTAGTGAAATTTATAAATCTAAACTCCTCGGCCTCTCAGTATTACTGGATCTTTATTCCTAATCATGGCTTTGCTACATAATCAGGTAAAGCAGGGTTTAGGAGGTAGAGTTCGTCTTATTTTGTCTGGAGCAGCACCTTTATCTGCACATGTGGAAGGTTACTTACGGGTGGTGACTTGTTGTCATGTCCTACAAGGATATGGTATGTTCTTTTTAAATATGAAAATCAAACTTATACCATACTATCACTTTTCAAGAAAAATGTCATTAATTTGATTTCCATGTGATGGTGACACAAAAACATGGTCTTAGTTGAAAATGATTTTTTATCAGAAAATAGTGGTATTTTATTTTTATCCGAGGATTACATGTTAAATATTTTAAGGAGTGTTTGTCACAGATCAAAATAACACTAGGTAGAATGGATATAATTGTTTCCTTTTTGTAATCACGTAAAATTTGAGAAAGCAGATAGCATTTGATGGTGTAGTAATGGTAGTTGAAAACATCCAAAATTGGTTTAAAACTAACTTTATATTTTTAAAGGGATAGTTTTTTATTTTTCTTCTTTACTCTTTAGTTCATTTGATATTTAACTTGTAAATTTTGAAAGATTTACTTCAAATGAATTTCAATTACTTACAAATTTTCTACTACTTATTCAGAACATTCATAGCCATTTTGTATTTGTCAAATAGCTATTAAAGTTGGATATTTGAATACGTTTGCTACTGTAGTTTATTTACTTGGTGCTCCTGTTAAAAATGCGAACAGGCCTGACTGAAACCTGTGCGGGAACCTTTGTCTCATTACCAAATGAAATGGAAATGCTTGGAACGGTGGGCCCTCCAGTACCAAATGTTGATGTGTGCTTGGAATCTGTTCCTGAAATGGGATATGATGCCCTAGCAAGCACACCAAGGGGAGAAATTTGTGTAAAGGGTAAAACCTTGTTTTCCGGGTACTACAAACGTGAAGATCTCACCAAAGAGGTTCTGATCGATGAATGGTTCCATACAGGTTATTTTATTATGTTTTCCAAAATTGAGGTTTATAGATAATTTCTTATATTAGCTATGAGGCTACAATTTTTCTTTTATTCACAAATGATACCTTCAACAGGGGATATTGGAGAGTGGCAACCTAATGGAAGCATGAAAATTATTGATAGGAAAAAAAATATATTTAAACTTTCACAGGGAGAATATGTTGCTGTCGAAAACCTGGAGAACATTTATGGACAAGTTTCATGTATTGAATCTGTAAGTCCTGATAACCCTATTCCTTCCAATGGTTTTTCTGTCCTAATTGTAGCAAATTTATTGCTTATATCTAATTGGAAAAATATGTAGAAGATTAGAAAATGTTACTGATATACTACTAGAGCTGATTACCTCAGGTTGATGATAGAATTTCGAAACTTTGGGACCAATCATGGCCTACTAACCCTCTGTCTTAGGTTGATATTTTTTATCCTGAAGTTTAAACTAAACAGGCTTGGATATTTTTCTTTCATCGCTAGACACATTTNTGCAAATTCTGAAATCTGATTTCAGTAAGCTGAATAACATGAAGAAAGGGTTTACCCATGGAGAGGCATCCCCTATTTGTGATAAAATTGTATTTGATAAGGTAGTGAAATTTATAAATCTAAACTCCTCGGCCTCTCAGTATTACTGGATCTTTATTCCTAATCATGGCTTTGCTACATAATCAGGTAAAGCAGGGTTTAGGAGGTAGAGTTCGTCTTATTTTGTCTGGAGCAGCACCTTTATCTGCACATGTGGAAGGTTACTTACGGGTGGTGACTTGTTGTCATGTCCTACAAGGATATGGTATGTTCTTTTTAAATATGAAAATCAAACTTATACCATACTATCACTTTTCAAGAAAAATGTCATTAATTTGATTTCCATGTGATGGTGACACAAAAACATGTTCTTAGTTGAAAATGATTTTTTATCAGAAAATAGTGGTATTTTATTTTTATCCGAGGATTACATGTTAAATATTTTAAGGAGTGTTTGTCACAGATCAAAATAACACTAGGTAGAATGGATATAATTGTTTCCTTTTTGTAATCACGTAAAATTTGAGAAAGCAGATAGCATTTGATGGTGTAGTAATGGTAGTTGAAAACATCCAAAATTGGTTTAAAACTAACTTTATATTTTTAAAGGGATAGTTTTTTATTTTTCTTCTTTACTCTTTAGTTCATTTGATATTTAACTTGTAAATTTTGAAAGATTTACTTCAAATGAATTTCAATTACTTACAAATTTTCTACTACTTATTCAGAACATTCATAGCCATTTTGTATTTGTCAAATAGCTATTAAAGTTGGATATTTGAATACGTTTGCTACTGTAGTTTATTTACTTGGTGCTCCTGTTAAAAATGCGAACAGGCCTGACTGAAACCTGTGCGGGAACCTTTGTCTCATTACCAAATGAAATGGAAATGCTTGGAACGGTGGGCCCTCCAGTACCAAATGTTGATGTGTGCTTGGAATCTGTTCCTGAAATGGGATATGATGCCCTAGCAAGCACACCAAGGGGAGAAATTTGTGTAAAGGGTAAAACCTTGTTTTCCGGGTACTACAAACGTGAAGATCTCACCAAAGAGGTTCTGATCGATGAATGGTTCCATACAGGTTATTTTATTATGTTTTCCAAAATTGAGGTTTATAGATAATTTCTTATATTAGCTATGAGGCTACAATTTTTCTTTTATTCACAAATGATACCTTCAACAGGGGATATTGGAGAGTGGCAACCTAATGGAAGCATGAAAATTATTGATAGGAAAAAAAATATATTTAAACTTTCACAGGGAGAATATGTTGCTGTCGAAAACCTGGAGAACATTTATGGACAAGTTTCATGTATTGAATCTGTAAGTCCTGATAACCCTATTCCTTCCAATGGTTTTTCTGTCCTAATTGTAGCAAATTTATTGCTTATATCTAATTGGAAAAATATGTAGAAGATTAGAAAATGTTACTGATATACTACTAGAGCTGATTACCTCAGGTTGATGATAGAATTTCGAAACTTTGGGACCAATCATGGCCTACTAACCCTCTGTCTTAGGTTGATATTTTTTATCCTGAAGTTTAAACTAAACAGGCTTGGATATTTTTCTTTCATCGCTAGACACATTTAAATTTTAGCTTCTTGTTAGAAGTATTTCTTTTTAACACTGTTGGAAGTCCCACATCGACTAGAGATAAGGTCAATTTATAGTTTATAACTGGGTGCAAACCTCACCCTACAAGCCGGTTTTGTGGGGTTGGGTTAGGCTTAAAGTCCATTTCTAATATGGTGTTAGAGCCAGGTTAGAGTCTATCCTAACGCTGCTATCGGACCATCCATTAAAAATGTCTAATCTCACGTTCGAGATGTATATACCTCGGCGTGAGGGGGGGTGTTGGAAGTCCCACATCGACTAGAGACAAGGCTAATTCATAGTTTATAAGTGGGTGCAAACTCCACTCTACAAGCCGGTTTTGTGGGGTTGAGTTAGGCTTAAAGTCCACTTCTAACAAATACTATAAATTTTTGTGATATTTTTCTCAAGACGTAAGACAACTACTGGGGCATGTATCTGTGCTACTATTTGTTCAAACATCTGGACATACAAATGAGTAATGATGTCAAAAGGTTTAGTCCAGTGCAAAAAAGAAACAAGGTTCTAAATTAGCTTCATGAATGAGCTGAAAATATTCTATTCCATGAAGATATAAACCTTTTTCTCCTCTATTTCAGATATGGGTTTACGGAAACAGTTTTGAGGCCTTCCTTGCTGTTGTTAATCCCAGAAAGGAAGCACTTGAACAATGGGCTCAAGAAAATGCTATATCAAAGGACTTCAATTCTCTTTGTGAAGATGCTAGAGCAAAAAGTTACATACTTGCAGAGCTCTCAAAGATTGGAAAGGAAAAGAAGGTATTTTTTTTTTTTGCTTTTGTTATCATCATCTAAATGGTTTTATTTGGAGTATTTATGTGTATGATAAAATTTCACATCAATCTAAAGTTGTTTAATAACTATTTTTGGGTAGTAATTATATTTGACATGAAATATTATGTTTGGTCTTGCACTTGTTTTAAATGATCTTGTCTTACGTGTAAACATGTTTCTACAAGTACATATACTGAAGTTTTGTGGGATGGCGAATATGTATTTGGCAGTTGAAAGGTTTCGAGTTTATAAAAGGAGTTCATCTTGACCCGATTCCGTTTGACATGGAACGTGACCTTATCACTCCAACATACAAGAAGAAGAGGCCACAGTTGCTTAAATTTTATCAGGTACAAGTTTTCAAATTCTCAGGATTTCATTTCACTTCATATTGAATAGTCTTAAAGTGGAGCAACCTTCATAAATGGAAGGTTATACTCTTCCTCTTCCTTTCTTTACTCATAACCGAACAACAAATAAAGAAGGTTGAGAAATCTCAGTCAGTTCCTGTTTTGTTGGCTGTATGGGTTATTAGTCAGGGTGATCAAAGCAATATGGTTTTGGATTGTATAGTGTTTTTTGACCTGCCTATGGGAACTCAAGTATATCTGTGTCCGGATGTACTTTGGCCTACCTACTAATACTTAAATATCATAGTTTAAAAATGGAAAACTGCACCTAAATAACAATGTTATGTACACAATTTATGAGAAAATCTGGAACATGGATTTTGTAATCGTGTGATTACTTAAGCTATGACACATGCAGGTTCTAGAAGTTAAGATATTCTCATAGTTTAAAAATGGAAAACTGCACCTAAATAACAATGTTAAGTACACAATTTATGAGAAAATCTGGAACATGGATTTTTGTAATCGTGTGACTACTTAAGCTATGACACATACAGGTTCTAGAAGTTAAGATATTCTCATCTAACTTGCAATTTATGTCCACTCTCACAATGCTTCTACTCAGATATTTGCGCATGGTTATTGTGTACAAACAAGCAGATGTGAAATCTGACTCAGCATACCGTAGCTGAATCTACGGAATTTTGAGTGTGTTGTGCGTCTGTTTAAATAAACACAGAAACGTGTATTGGATACATGCATGCTGGTGTATCTGTGTAGGCCTTCTATGGAAATGAATTCATGTTACGGCTGTTCTTTTTTCTAGCACACCTTTTAATGTTTGGGTTTCAGAGTCAAAACATTTTACCTTTATGAGGCTCTTTATGGGGAGGGTGATAAAAGTACTGACTGCACCATTTTTTATTTTGTGCGCAGAATGCTATTGACAACATGTACAAGAGTACAAAGTAAGCCATGGCTCAGAGGTGCTTTGGGAGTTAATGTCACGGGGACAATTTATTTTCTGCATGTTATTCTCTTCCTTCTATTGTTTCCCTTAGGTGACTGTATATACGATGAATATAGGGATACCCAATATTATAAATGTATTTTTATTTATAATTTCTTCATATCCATACATTTCTTTTTTTTCCTCTCTAGACATGTACTTACTTTTTGAGTATTCACGGATCCTTTCACATATATGGTTATTAATTTTCAAATGGCTGATAACACGCCATGCGTAGTTTTTGTTCAACTGCTTACACGAAATTTTATACTATTTTATACAAATTATTGGCTCGATTATAATATTACTCTGCAGCACTTTCTTTACAGGAGAAAAATTGTATTTCCTCCACACGTCGATACAGTGACATTCAAAGCAATTTTTAATAAAATCTCAGAATAAGTAAATAATTAAACGCTATCAGTATATTAAATAATAACTTTCTTGATTATAAAAAATGATTGATTTTGTAAAATGTAATGTAATTCCTAAACCAAACGTCTTGTAAAATGAGATGATGCTTCTCGAGAAATCAATGAGTCTGGATATTTGTTTCTTGCACGCTCATGAAACTGTAGCTAAGAACAAGTGGCGCCTGATGAAACAGCCACGTTACGGTCATGCTAACTTCAATCTCCATCTTTTTATGCATCTTTTTCCAAAGCAATTCCCACTTTTTGGATCACATTCATGTGCTCAAACCAGACAGACAACCGTCTTCTGTCCATATTTTTTCTTTTTCTTTTGCCCACAGTACACCCCCTCCCCCTGCCTTCACCATTCACTTTATATAAGTCTTTATACAATTAATTTATATTTTTTATGTCGCAAATTCCAATTATTACATCGGTGGTTCAATGAACTGGCTAATTTCTAAAATAATTATTTCACGTCACTCAGGTGTCAGCTGTTTTTGATTCAAGTATTTGTAAGAAAAAATAATTATGGAAACTCTTTAACATTAAATTCTTCAAAATTTACTTTAATTTGTTGATGAAAAATATGTATTTATACTCTGCTACTAGTATTTGCTAATATTTAAACTTTAAGAGACAAATTTTAGTAGATAAATAAGATTAAGCTGAGTCATAAACATTAATAATTATATAGTACTAACGTAAAATAAATAAAAAAGCGTTAACAACCTTTAATTAGATCACATAAGAAAGCTTATCCCTTCACGTTTTACTTGTATAATTCAACTTTCGAGCACACGTGTAAAGATTTCTTTCTCTTTAATGTGTTCAGCTTTGGCGAGCGACCTGATTCGTGTCACGTTAAACTCAATCATATACAAAACCCATAGTTTCCTGGTAGAAGAGGAAGAGAACTCCAAAAGAAAAGAAAATAAAATAAAAGAAAAGAAAAGAAAATAAAATAAGCCGGTGCCTGCAGTGTATGAGATTATGATAACAGAAACAAGTCCATATGATAACACGAACGAACCCATAAGTACGTTACAACTGTGAACACATGCACTATTTAAAAGACAAATCCACAGCAGAATTAATCAGTAGCGAAATGGATTCGACAGATAGCAGTGCGAAAACAAAATCTAAAGAAATTGAACTGTGTTACGATGACTATCCCAAGAAGAGAAAGCGTCCTTCCCAAGTAGCGGTGGTTATTCCCACCATGGAAGAATCCAAGGCCGCCGCGTCCTCCTCCTCCTCCTCCGCAACGCACGGTTCCATATCCGTGATCGGGCGGCGACGCGCAATGGAGGACGCCGTCATGGTGTTTCCCGGCTTGGTGGCGGCGGGGCAGTGGTGTGGCGGTTATGATTTCTTCGCGGTTTACGACGGACACGGCGGGACGTTGGTGGCGAACGCTTGCCGCGACAGGCTACACCTGCTGTTGGCGGATGAAGTGAGGGAGAACGCGAAGAAGGGATTGGATTGGTGCGAGGTTATGTATTCGTGTTTCATGAAGATGGACAAGGAGATCGGAGTTGGTGGTAAGGCGAACGATGACGGTGGCGGAAACACCACAGGTTCAACGGCGGCGGTTGTTGTCGTTGGGAAGAAGGAGATTGTGGTGGCGAATTGCGGTGACTCGAGGTCGGTGTTGTGCCGCGGCGGTGTAGCCATAGCACTTTCGCGTGATCATAAGGTGATCGATGATTAATTAATATTAATTATGATTATGATTTAGTTATTGATTGTTGTTGCATGTTGAGATAGTGAATAGTTTTGGAGTTTGTTTAACTTTGTGGAATGTGTATACGTGTATACAAATCAGCCTGATCGTTCAGATGAAAGAGAGAGAATAGAAGCTGCCGGTGGAAGAGTGATTAACTGGAACGGAAGTCGTGTTTTGGGAGTTCTTGCAACTTCCAGATCCATAGGTAAACTTCTAAACTCACTTTTTTCATTTTTCATATGCTCTGTGTTTCCGTAACATAGCTCATAAATTACTGCATCATCTCCACCTATCTTCGTCATCAAGAACATGCACGTTTCATTAGACTTTTCAGAAACATACTTCAACCAAATTGCTTTTCTCCTAAACTAAATACTCATGCATTACCATAGGAATGACACATGAATAACTAAGAAAGTTGTCTTGTTTTGAGTTACTGTTTTTACCAAATGGTTTGTTCGGTCATGTAAAATTCTGAGAAGGGGGATTTCACACTGTGCAGGGGATCATTCGATGAAACCTTTTGTGATATCTGAGCCAGAGACGATGGTGTACGAGCGAACAGAGCGTGATGAGTTTGTGGTGGTAGCAAGCGATGGGTTATGGGATGTGGTGTCAAACAAGTTTGTTTGTGAGGTTGTACGAAGCTGCCTCCATGGCCAAATCAAGAGGAATTTAAAAGAGGAGACTGTTGTAAGCAATGCAACAGAAGCTGCATCTTTGTTGGCAGAGTTGGCCATGGCTCGTGGAAGCAAAGACAATATCAGTGTCATAGTCATCCAACTCAACAACACCACTTCATCCTGAACTCCATGTAATAATACTCAACCATTTCTTACTTTCCAATTTTAATTCTCTCTTTTTACTTATATTTTATAAAATCAATTTCAAATACAATGAAAAGCTTCCTTTTTCTCTCTAGATCTTGGTCACTGTTATCACAATGGAGACTGAGAAGCAATTGTAGTTCTACAAATAAATTTTATATTAGTTTTCAAATGAAGAATAGATAACATATGGGCAGACAGTTTAGAATTCATTTTCATTTTCATTAATCACAAAACACTATAGAAATTTTACAATTACTTGATGGTGTGATTGTTCATTCATGTCTGTTAAATATTTGGATATAATATATGTTGACTTAAATACTGATCTAACACGAAAGTCAACCTAGTTTACAGCATTGTGTTGTGCCTGTTCAATCTTATTGTACAGCTGGTTTTTTATTTTAAAAAAACAAACAATATTTATCAGATTCAATTAATAGAATATATATATATATATATATATATATATATAAATTTTTTTTTGGTAGCGTTGATCTTTTTATTTCAAATTATTTTTTCCTTATTTGCCTGGTTTTTACGTCAGAAGAATAACGTGACTTTCGTGATATGATTCAGAAGAAAAAATCAAGCACGCACGCACGACGTGGCTACCCTCCTAATCCTAATCATAAAAACTCATCAATCAATTTCTTTAATTTAATCGTTTTATTTTTATTATTTAAACTAAATATATTTTAATTTTAGGTTTAAGATTTAATAATATACAACAATATTAACAGTACATGTTCGAATCTGAAATTAAAAATTGAAAAAATATCTAAATTTGATTATTCAATTTTGAAGAAGAATAAAAATCATATGGTACTGGATACTTTTTTTTATTCCCTCGATGTAATATTTTTGTAAATAGACGGGCTAAAGCCCAAACTACAAAGAAGGCTGAGATATTAAATCCAAGAGCAGCGACAAACTGTGAACAAGATCGTACGGAAGCCTTTCCTCCCTGCACCTCCACAATATGTAATAAAAAAGAATTTTTAAAATTCAATGTCAATGTGAACCTTCAAATCGGGTAAAAATGAGTAAGAAAACGGGGGCGTGGCTGGGCTCTGGCTGGGGCTGGGCTGAGGCCGGGGCTGGGCTGTGGCTGTGGCTGTGGCTGTGGCGAGGGTTGTGGCAGGGCTGGGGTTGTGGCTGGGGCTGTGGTTGAGGCTGGGGCTGTGGTTGAAGCTGGGGCTATGGCTAGGGCTGTGGTTGAGGCTGGGGCTATGGCTGGGGCTATGGCTGGGGCTATGGCTGGGCTGTGGTTGAGGCTGGGGCTATGGCTGGGGCGTGGCTGGGGCTGGGGCTGTGGTTGAGGCTGTGGCTGGGGCTGTGGTTGAGGATGGGGCTGTGGTTGAGGATGGGGCTGTGGTTGAGGCTGGGGCTATGGCTAGGGCTGTGGTTGAGGCTGGGGCTGAGGCTGGGGCTATGGCTAGGGCTGTGGTTGAGGCTGGGGCTGTGGCTGGGCTGTGGCTGGGCTGTGGTTGAGGCTGGGGCTGTGGCTGGGGCTGAGGCTGGGGCTGTGGCTGGGGCTGAGGCTGGGGTTGTGGCTGGGGCTGGGCTGAGGCTGAGGCTGGGGCTGTGGCTGTGGCTGTGGCTGTGGCTGTGGCTGGGCTGAGGCTGTGGCTGAGGCTGGGCTGAGGCTGAGGCGAGGCTGGGCTGAGGCTGGGCTGAGGCTGGGCTGGGGCTGAGGCTGGGCTGGGGCTGACGCTGGGCTTTGGCTCTGGCGGGATCAAAACTTTGCGAGTCTATGATCTTCTACGGGAGATCAATTTCGTGGCTTTCTGTTCACGGCACATCACTATATCGGCAGCAACATTTATCATATCGGCAGCAACATAGGTCTGTCTCTCAACTCCGTTCTTTTTTAATGTTTGGGGTTGAAGAATATGTACCCCTTGGAAAACTGTTCCCAAGTGGTTTTAAACTGCTTAGTGTTTTAGATTTATCAAGATGCACCTTTGAAGAAGTTTCCACTAGCAGTTATTGATCAATATAATTCAAGATACCTAAGGCTCAAGGGAAAGATACTATTTTGGTAGTGGTTGATAGATGCAAGTTCATTGACTAGTTATGAAGAGAAAAGATGCAATGAGTGCGCACACACATACAAAGAAAATATGGTCCAAACCTCACTCAAGGGTTAATCATTGTCAAAACTGATTATATACTGATTCTTTAATGTAAAAATCACTCAAATTATCAATTGCAACTTTAAAAACATGGCTAAAAAGCTATGCAAATTAGCAAACTTATTCATCTACAATTTGCAACTAATACTAGTACAATGATAAGCAAATCTGTAAAAGTCATTCAAAAATAGAAACTAAGATAGTCAAACAAGTTTAAAATGACTAAACTAAGCTAAGGAAAATATCAAATACCTAAATTTACCTAAAACTCAATGTCACCACCTAAACCTACTTAGAACACTAAAAACAGTACTAAAAATACAACTACTCTATCGCTATACTACAACAACTAAAAACTATGTCTAAACTATCCTCACAAGTCTAACTTACTAAACTAAGTATAAGAAAATGTACTACAACTCATTCTATTAACTAAGTCTAAATTTAGCTAACTATATCTACTAAACTACACCACTACTTACTATTCTAATTAAAATACTAAATGCAACCAATCCTATTTCCTAACTCTAAAAGTACCAAAATAATACAGCAACTACGGTAACAAATATAGAAAATATTATAACTACTGCCTACTCTAGAAAACTAGAACTACAAAATATACCTAAACACCTAAACAGTAATAATGATATAATGAATGAAGAGGCCATGAAGGGGAGGAATTCTGATTGATAAGGCAGGGTGGTATGGGGTAATGGTAGGTGGATGCACCTCCATCTCAACCATCAGATGAAGGCTTCATCATAATCAACGGTGGTTTTGGAGGCCTGGAAGGATGCACCGTAGAAAAGGGCCCCAAGCAAAGATAGGAAAGCAAATGCGTACTTTGAGTTAATAATATGACACACCTATCATTGATAACATAACAACTACCAAGTATCTTCGGAGCATCAACCTTTTAATTTTGTTTCTTATGTGTAAAGTGGGATTTTGGAGGGAAAATATAACATAACTTGCAGGGTTGTCCTCTCTAGTGGCATGCTCAATTATTATTCAGAAAAAAAGTGCCACAACTTGGTTTTTCAATTTTCATTTCCTTGACATAGATAGATAGATATATATATATATATATATATATATATATATATATATATATATTTTCTGACAAATGAAAAAAAGCCATAACTTTCCTATATTCAGGACTATATTGATTCTTCTTTTGCTCTAAGCCTTCACCAGTTCTTAAGTTCTTTATAAACAGAATTCAAGTAAAGAATGATGCAAAGATATTTTAAGATTAGTGAGAGACATGTTAAACAACTGGCAGTTACAGTGCAGACTCTAGCATAATTGCTTTTGTAGACTTTGTTACTAAATTCAATATTCTTATAATACTCATTCTGAATACAGCTATAGTAAACAACACAAGAAAGAGGAAGAGCGTCACTCAAGACAATAAGGCAAAAGAAAGAGGTGGAGATTTGCAAATTACGACCTCGAGCTCAAGCCGTCCCCTCTCAGTTTTTAGTTCCTCAACTAGTTGAAGTTTTTTATATCTTCTTACCAAGCATTTGTGCTGCAAGTGGTCTTCACGTATCTATAGATAGAGAAAGCTTGCTTGAATGGTTATGAGAACATTGTCAATTAAAGAAGGTAAAACTAACACACAAGTAAAGGATGAATGATCTGAAAAACTTTTACTCAATTACAAAGAAAGCAAAAGAAAATGATAAAATCATGTGTATGATTTTTAAAAAGTTGGTATATCAGTGTAATTAGAAACCATAAAGGGTGTCAATGCAATTTATTCTACAAAAAAAGCTACATATAAAATCAACAAAACCACCATATAACCAATACTGGACACTAAATAAAAATAGCATAATACTTTTGCTTATCCACTTTTATCTTAATTATTGTTAGACAACTCCTGAACATTAAGCATTAAATCTGGAGAATGGATGGGTCCTCCAATATCTGTCCTGTTAACTATGAAGAATCAGACCTTCTACCATTTGACCAGAGACTTTGATATCATGTGAAGGACTAATAACCTTCCTAGTACGAACCCACAAATGGTTTTGTATCTGTAAAATTGATAGCAAAGTCTCCCTGACACAGTGGCTGAGTTTGATCCTTGACCCCCACATTCTTGAGAATTAGATTAAGCTTCAGCAGAAGGAAAAGTGGGTTCGTGCATAGATTTCAAGCCCAAAAGGCCTCTCTAGAGGAAGGCCTAAAGGGTTGTGCTATAGATATAGAACCATTATTGAACATCTACCCTATAACTGAGGCTATTGGGGGGATTGATCTCTGACAGAAATAAGTTTGAGTACTTCAGAATAAATAGTAGTAGGATCAATACTATATTACGTGTTACTCTGCTAGTCAAAATCGTTTTCCATTCAATACCATAACGTTTAAAAAGAAGGAATTATATTATGGCAAACCATTTTGGCACTGGATTATGAGATTGGTCAATTGGCCTTTTCTATCCTCAGACTGTATTTAGGGGTGGTTCCTACCTGGTAGCTGAAGCAGTGACAGATGATATTCCTTTATACAACTTAGTTTCCTCAGCATGGCCTTGGGCAACCTATTACATCTCAGATTAATCTCACCACTCCACTAATCTGTCTCATTCTATGTACTAAAATATTGCCCCTACCCACTCGAGTTCTATATGATGGGCAACTCATTCCTAAAACATTGCCTTGTCTTCCAAACACATCATACTTCTTCAGAACAGCATGCAGACAGATTTATACAGTCGCAAGTAAATCTGTTTGTGAACAAATCTTGAAGCGTTTAGCAAAACAAGATAATATATAGCCAATAGAAAAATATTTTATATATTCACAACAAAAATATGATAATCATCACATACCTGTCTAAAAAAGGCATTAGTATGTAGTCATGAACCAGAAAATCCATTGCCCAAGATTGGTTTGATTGCTCCTTTGTTTGAAAAGAGCCTAGGGAGAAGATCCACCTTATCCAGATTTTGAGTGTGGTTTGATTGCTCATTTTGTTTGAAAAGAGCCTCAGGAAAAGATCCACTTTGAGGCTAGTAAGACAGTTATATCTATAAATAAGGGTGATAAAGATTTTGGAATGAATATGCCTGAAAAGTACTAATTGTATTTATAGGATTAACATGGACAGATAACTTATATTCTTATTAGAAGGGAGAAATAATAATGATATATTAGATAGTAACAGAATGACAAATAATCATCAAAATACTAAACTACCAAAGTTTAATTATAATACGTGAATACTAAACTACCAAAGTTTAATTATAATACGTGAATACGATCCAAATAGACATAAGTTGGACTATTCTTTAATGAAAAAGCTTAAAGAGTTTTGTTGGACCATGCTCTTTAATTACTATTGGACTGAGTAAAAATACTATTCAATATCTTATATATTCCTTTTATATTTATTGATAAGGCCTTATTAACTAAGCATGACAATAAAAGAAAATCATTAACTTAATTGAGAGTAATAAACATGTTTTATTTTTTTTCTAATATACTTCTATTGTAATATAAAATATTTTAATTGGAAATTTAATTTAATTTATATCATTAATTTTTTATCTTTTAAAAATAAAAAATAACAACCCAAACTTCTTTAAACTGGGATGCTAGTTTATGTTACATTGAGAGGTAATAAGTTTCTATGTTTCCACCTTTTACAAAACCCCCTCTTGCAAGTTAAATAGACCACTAGTAATATATATCTACAAGTAACTACATAATACCATGAGAAAAGAGCTTCAAGGACATCTTGTCGGTCCTCATTTTTGGGATAATGTAGCCTGGCCCACTTCAGCACAAACTGATAGACAGCATCCTCTGATGCAAACCTAGATCACTCGATGAAGAAGAACCTTACAAGTCCATGTGTTTGAAAAATAAAAAGAAATATGGGAAAACAAGAAAAAAGACAGGAAACTGAGATTGAAAATAAGAACAAAAACTGCAATAAATAATGGTTAAAGAAAAAACAAAAATCACCCGGAATTAAGAAACATAGTGAGTAACAAACTTACTTTGTTATGTCTTTGTAGTGTGACGCAAGAAACAACGTTGTTGCCTCTATCAGTGGTTGAATAATAGCATCTGACGTCAAAATGCTTGAAGGAAGATCGAAATAAAGTAAATGCAAACCAGTCATAGGCGTTAACCTTAACATCCTAGTGCAATACCTTATGCATGACAAAACATCAAATTTATCAGCATCCATAAGCACATCCAATACAGCAGCAGGTCCATAACGGCAGCCTCTTCTGCTCCAATGATAGGTTAAAAAACAGAATGTTTTAGCTGACATTTGGACATTAAAAAACTAACATAAACATTATAAAGTCTAAAAACTAAAAAAGGAGGAGAGGGTGGGCAAAGAGAGCGACAAAAACCTTCAGCTCATATATATCAAACAATTACCAGAATTGTGGATACGAAGTGTCACATTTTGTTGCTTAGACTCTCTCATCACTTTTGAAAACAACTACAGGAATAATTAAAGCAATGAGTCATCTGAGTGATAACAGAGGAAATTAAGTAGAAAAGCAGCACTAGGCGTAGTAAAGTACATACCTGATAAAAGAAGGGACCTTTTGCTGCAAGAATTGGAAACTTACATGTACGGTCCTAACTCTTAGAACTTTTGACCAACTCATCTCAAATAATGAATCATTTCCAAGAGAAACTTCATCACCTACAAAAGTAATACAGTAATCATAAGAACTGTATCACAAGCTGAAAGTTAAATTCACACTGCACAAAACATTTTTACAGCACAAATCCAGTTTGCAGATGGAGATATTCATTTTCAATCAGTAATGTGTATGATTATTCCATCATGGTTATCACTGAAAGCATCCATAAATTATCAGATCACAACCATGAAGGTAGTCAGGAAGCACTTCCCAAACACAGAAAGAACTCACAAATTTTAACTTGTTTTTGTGCATTTGCAATTGAAGGGATTAAATATTTTACCGTGAAAGATGAAAGGTGTATCATTTAGAGAGAGGATTAATCATGGAAGTGAACATGTCCTCAAGTCAAATATACATGTTCTACGCCCTCAAATCAAATCAAATATACAGTTGCACGAATATCATCAACGTGTTTCAATGCTGTTACTAATACTTCGTGCACCTTTGGCATTGTAAATATGGGCATTTAGGCTTTTAATGTAAAATTCCAATTTTAACTACATTGGTCAAGATTCATATTAGCAGAAGACAAATGCATGTAAATATTTGTATATTGAATTATCTTTAGCATTTAAGACACGAGACGAAACCAACAACACCAAATGATTTGTCAGGAAATAAATAGCGGGTTCTTGAAGCACTAGGGAGGGACTTGATAAAAATAATAATCCAAGCTATTGAAACTTTTGAAAAAGAAACAGAACCACGGTGACGCCTCAGTAATTGCTATAGCTTCCTCAGCATCTGGTAAATTACAATTTTCCGTTTCCTCGTGCTGCAAGAGGACATAAAGCTTGATAAAGGGAAGCATCTGAATTTGTCAGGGACTTATCAAACCAAATTAACAAGTTAAAACTGGCAAGGACTATTCATCACAACTACCACGCCCGAATTTGAAAATTCAATTAACCAACTGAAGAACTTCTAGCCTTTGGGATACCTCAGAAACAACAGATATGACAATGTGGGAAATTTGAGTTTATTCCTAGACCTGGAGAGTTCAATTTAAGAAACGAAAGTAGAATTGAAATGTTTGATTGGATGGTACCTTTCATAACACCGACTCTGCTTCTCTTGCAATTGCTACTACGGTAGAGAGAGAACAACAATGTTGGGACCGTCTGAAATGGGGGTCGGGTATAACCTCAATGTTGAGAATTCAGTTGGAGAAATTGATGTTGTCGAATGCAAACGCAAAGTTACACTCCAAACCAACATCTTTCGTGTCTGCCTCTGTCATTTTAAATCTTTTGGAGCGATGTTTATGAAACAAGTCAGGGTTTTAGCATTTGCAGGATGTTTATGAAACCTCTCTTCTTGAGAGAGTAAAAGACTCTCGATATCATCTGCAGAGTAGAGTTCGGTTCGTGACATCGAAGCCAGTAACGACGCCACAAGAAGACGATCTTGTTGTTGATAGAAGAGATACTGAGGATTGAAAGAAAGGGAGGCAGTGGCGGTATCAGTGATATGAACGGGTGGGATTGAAGAATCATCCAAGAAGTGCCCAAGATTCAAGCCTTGGACGGTGCCAAAGAAGAAAATTATCTTCATCTAACTTTAATGCAATCCGAGTGTTGAACTTGTGAATAGAAAAAGCAAAACGCGGAGCCATTGTGGAAGATGAGGCAACAGAGGCCATGAAAGAGCGCAAAATCAGCTCTTGATATCATGTAATGATGTCTAAAGAGAGAAGAATAACCTGAATAAGGTGGTAAATGATATAACTAAGTTGAATTGAATATTACAGACAGACCGCTAGAGGAATTTATATAGCGGTGTGGTGAGTAACAGAAAGCGGTTACAACAGCTGTTTCACGTAACACAAAAATAAAATATCAAAGTCATAGGGTTAATTAAATTTAACTTTGATACGGTTTAATTTTATTAACTTTT